ATCTGCTGCACAAGACCTTTTACCTCTTTAAAGTGTTGAAGAGCAAAGATGTCAGTTTGAGGATTTAGGTGCACTTGATGGAAGCCATGGTATTTCAATAACCTCATATGCATGCAAAAGTTAGACATTGAATAAATAAGACTATAGAAGAATTGATGCATTTGAGTGATGGTGTTGGAAAACAATATTAAAAGTACCATGGACTGCCAAAAAAACAAACCAGTCTGTGCTGGAAGAAGTACGGCCAGAGTGCTCCTTGGAAGCCAAGAGGGCCAGACTTCCTCTCTCACACTTTGGACATATTATCAGGAGTGACCAGTCATTGGAGTAGGATATCATGTTTAGCAAAATGGAGGGTCAGAGAAAAAGAGGATCCCCAACAAGGTGTATTGGCACAGTGGCAGGTATATGTAGCAATGATTGTGAGGTTGGCAAAGGACTGGGCAGTGTTTTGTTCTGTAGTGCACAGGATCGCTATGAGTTGGCTGGACAGTGAATAAGGAAGACTGTACAAGAATTGATGCTTAATTCTTAAGTTATTCCTCTTCACGTTGTCCAACATGAATCTTAGACCTTCTTCAGATTTATCCTTTTTTCTGTTTGTTCTTCTAAGAGGTATTGAGAGATTTGTCTTCCAGCTCACTGGTTCTGCCTTCCATCTCATCTATTCTACTCCTTTGCCTTTTCAGAGTATTGTCTATTTCTGATACTCTGTTATTGATTGTTTGGACCTCTTTCTGAAGGTTTTAAATTGTTTCCAATGCTGTATCTATCTTATTTGATTGTTCCTGTAGCGCTTTCCTGACTTCTTCCTTATTGTTCTCAACTCCATTGTAAAGTGTTTTGAAACAATTTGTAATCATTTTTCTGAATTCCTTCTCAGGTATTTCCAAGGCCTGCTCTCCTTCCAGAATGGAGTCCAGCTCTACCTCTAGGTCATTTGTCTCAGCCACTTTATCTTGTTTCTGGACATGTGCTGATATGGTCATCTGCTTTTGCTTCTTGGACATGTTTAATGTTTATCTGTGGCCTTAATACTTAATTGAGTATGTGTTTTGGTAATTTTTAATGGTTTCTGATTGCTTCCAGGGAGATGTGATCAGGATGTGGGCTTCCCATTTCACTCTTCTTATTGCTTAACTTAGAGTAACTTTCACAGGTGT